AGCTTTTTTAAAAACGAAGTAAATTAGTACAAATTGTTAGTAATTTTCATTATAGTTTGAATAACTCCTTTCACCAAATGGCTTTTAGTAACTTTAAAGAGACCCTAACTTATTTTATTTTATTTTATTAATTTTAGTGCAGTTTTGACAAAATTTTCTTGCTAAAAAATCTTTTATTACACTACTTCATTTTACTCCTTTGATTGTACAGGTTAAATAAAAGCTTGTTTATAAAATATTTTTTTTACATTATTTTATAATTTTTAGTCCATTTATAAAAGCGTTGTATATTAAAAAGTGTTATTTTATTTTATGTACAAAATTTTGCAATAGATATTAAAATAATTCAACTTGCAATGAAAGAGAACAGAAGACTTGGCAAGCAAAATGTTATTTGCTTACGTTTTGTATAAACATACATATGTACATCTAGCAGCAGTTAATTTTATTTGAAGAAATGGCGTGTCGTCCATTTCCGCTGTAGCATGGCATATATTTAGGCGCAATATTTAACTTCTTCTGGCGGGGCGACATCTGGAGTCTTTTAATTGTATCTGCTTGATATGATGCCTACAACAGGTTCATATCTAGACTAGGAATAGCTTTGCTACACTACCGCCGCCGCGCCGGCAGCTTTAACAATTTTATAGTGGTTTTAGGTTCTTTGGCAAATTGCGCTCTGTTAGCCATAAATCTTACTATTTTTTGACCGCCTTTGAATCAAGACCCCTGGACCATATGGAGAATTCATTTACATTTTAAATTGCACTGTCATCGTGACTGGAACTATGCTGAAAACTTCAAGTTTCTAACTTGTCGGGAAGTCAGTTTAAAATCGATTGGAAATTTCCGCGATTTGCGCGGGATGACGAAGTTAAATAAAAGCTTATAAAAACTATCAAAATTAAACGATCAGTAGTTAGTGTTTTTTCGTATTAAGGATATTCATACATATACGTGTGCAAAAGGCATGAAAACGATCTTGTTTCCCTTCGATGCCGATTTTCTTTCTATAAGTGAAGAATTTCAAACGTTTCATTATCATTGGGTGGTAGCCTATGATAAAAAGTGTGTTCTCATAAAATTACAAGCCAACAGCTCATAAGGTCTTGGTTGTATAAGGTTTTGAGTTTTATGTTGGGGGAAAGAAAATAAAAATCAGGTGTCAATCATTATTCTTAAGTGGAAAGAATAAAAATCGCAAGATAATCATTATACCTGAGCGAAAAAAAAATAAAAATCAAAAGTAATCCTTATGCTCAAGCAAAAATATAAGACTCATAATGTGAGTATTATTCTTGAGTGAAAAAATAAAAGTCGCAAGGTAATCAATATTCTTGAGTGAAAAAATAAAAATTGAAGGATAATCATTATTCTCGAATAAAAAACTTAAAATCAAGGGGTAATCATTATTCTTGAGCGAAAAAATAAAAATCATTGTAAATTACGGTAGGACATACAAAGACAGATATGTGAGTATACATAAAATTGCTGTCAGACACTTACAACATGTTGATTTTTTTAATTTAAATTAAAAAAATGATTACTTTCCATCCCTGCTTAATTTACATTTTTGTCTGCTGGTTTTATTATTGATGTTGGATTGACTTCAAATCGTTATGAGCTAGGAAGTACAGGTGTACCAATAAGAATATACAACAAAAGTATGAATATCGTTAGAACTTGGAAAGAAAGCGGCGGCTGAAATAAAAAGTGTTACACCATGTTACAGTTTTGCTCGTCACTGTATATGTAAAATTGTACCTGAAAGTTTAAAAATTGCTAATGCTAAATAAAGAAATAATAATAATAATAATATACGCGTTTTACTTAATCAATTAATTAATGAATGTAAATGACAGTATTACAAACGCATGCGAACATTATATAAATGAAAAGTGGGGTTTTAAATTAAAAATTTGTGATAGTAGTCGGGGTATTTTAACAACAAATTACTTAAATACTATTATCAGCAGCATTGTGAAAGTGATAACTTCAGTTGAAGAAGACCTTCATAAATATCCCCACCGAGTTTTATAAAAAAAATTCGGTATACTTTGAATGATATAGCTACTGGTTCCGTAAGGAGGCCTTCGTCTTCCTCTGTTACCAGCATCGCGGCCCGCGTTGAATATTTTCAGAGCAGGAGCGTTTCTGTCCATTCCATATCCATATCGTTGTAAAGCTCATAAGCTCATAACGCGTAAAGGTCGGTAAATCTTTCGCAGAATCTTTCTCTCGAAAACTCCAAGAGCCNGAAGCCAAGTCCTTCTCCACCTGGTCTTTCCAACGCAGAGGAGGCCTTCCTCTTCCTCTGTTCCCAGCATCGCGGCCCGCGTTGAATATTTTCAGAGCAGGAGCGTTTCTGTCCATTCCATATCCATATCGTTGTAAAGCTCATAAGCTCATNAGCTCATCGTTAAATCGTCTGCGATATTCGCCATCACCAACGCGTAAAGGTCCGTAAATCTTTCGCAGAATCTTTCTCTCGAAAACTCCAAGAGCCGCCTCATCAGATGCTTTCATTGTCCATGCTTCCGCGCCATACACCAGCACAGGCATGATGAGTGACTTATAGAGTGTGATCTTTGTACGACGAGAGAGGACTTTACTTCTCAATGCCTACTCAGCCCAAAGTAGCACTTGTTGGCAAGAGTGATTCTCCGTTGGATTTTAAGGCTAACATTATTATTGGAGTTAATACTGGTTCCCAAATAAACGAAGTCGTCTACTTTTTCAAACTTGTAACTGTCAACAGTGACGTGGGTGCCAGGACGCGTATGCTCTGACTGTTTGTGTGATGACAGGCGATACTTCGTTTTGTCCTCGTTCACCACCAGACCCATTCGCTTTGCTTCTCTATCCAATTCTGAGAAGACGTAGCCCTTGATTTTACCGATATTATCGATGTCTTCGGCATGCGCCAGCAATTGTACGCTCTTCTAAAGTATTGTGCCTGAGCGGTTCAGTTTTGCGGCTCTTATTATCTTCTCCAACATCAACCTCGTTTGGTATCACAACGGCTCGGAGAGGTCCTTCCCTATTCTGACGGAGCTGGTGGTACTGCTCAACGTCATTTTACACAGCCGTATTAGTTTCGCGGGAATACCAAATTCAGACATCGCGGCATAGAGGTCTGGAGTGATTTTGGGGCTATACTCCAGCAGCCGACCCTTCACGTGTACACCAGCGTACCCCAGCGTAAGCGCCGCTACTGGCGAGCTGACTTGGGACACCATCGAGTAAGAGGTACGCAAGGCGGGGCGTAACATAATCTTTTGATTACACAGATTAACAGAGTCGTGTAAACGAACTACGTAATTGGCAGTGCTCGTGGGGACATAATATTACATGCTAGCACTTACCGATGTCATTCCTGATGAAGGCGCCTGCACCAGTGAGATGGGAGAGCTGTAACAATTTGAATAGTATAATGCTTTCCAAAGAAAAATTGGAAACGAGCTAGACTTTCAAATTCCTAGCAAGCTCATTTCGACCGCATCAACTACAATGCATCGAACTACTCTCTACTTCGATTTTTATATTAAAATTAAAAAGGGTTATTTTATTTAATTGTAATGGTTTATCAAAAATGGAAGAGAGTGCCACGACTGAGAACGTGGAAGATATTCCCTCGAGGTCTGGTGCTCTGGTTGCATGGTTCTTACATTCCTTAATTCTTGATATTTTCTCTATAACTTTGTAACCAAGTTTAAAATTAATAAACGGATTAATCACACATCACGTGTTTGGAACATTTTCCATTCTTGATATAAGTTGCGTTCGATAACAAAATTAGCTAAACCAGCCAACAATCAAAATCAAGAGCGTAAGCGAAAATTCTCTCCCAAAGAGAAGAAAAAGCAAAAAAGTAAACGAACAGGAAATTAGCCATCTCTTGCAAAAACCGGAAGAAGAAGCTGACTTTGTTTATATTTTATTTGTAAACAAAATGAAATTCATGGTGCCTCCATGTAACAAAAAAGGAAAGTGAACGTTCAATGTTCGCCAGGAACATTTCTAGAAGTAAAAACTAGTTGGCACTATCATAAAGTCACATAGCAGGCAGCCAAAAAGCTTATAAATACGAAAACTCGAAAAATGCAATTTTGTTTGTTTACAAAAATTGCAACTATATGTTTTGTGGTCATATGTTTTCGTGATGGATAATTTTTGCTGACTAAAATTTTGCCAGTACAAAATGAAGTTAAGAGTGCACTTTAGCGAAAGTGGGCCAAAATGATGAAAAAATTCAAGAGGGGTATCAATCGACGCGTTGTAGTGCGAACAACAATAATCCGAGACCGGAAATTCACATTTTTAATTAATTAAAGAGTTATTCGCAAAAAACACTTGCACTTTTCGCACTATGTTTTGATGAATTTGACGCAAATAAATGAAGCAAATGAACTCAACTGAACACATATTCATTAGTTTTTATACATTTGTGATGTTTTAAATGTACACCTTCGCGAAATTTCGAAATATAAATAACATGGAGGAAAACTAGTGTTGCCACTCTATTAAAAATAAAATGGAACTAAATTGCTGCTGCCACTCTATTAAAAAAGTTTTTGTGCATCCAACTCCTTTTTCGTAGGCGGCCTTCGGCCGCGCTTAGGGATTATAACCCTCACAACGTAGAATTCTCCTTTCTGTGTTGCCAAAGAAAAGGGGCAGCACACCTTTTGCAGAGAACACCTTTCTGCGTAGGAGGCCTTCGGCCGCGCTTACAGATTATAATCCTCACTACGTAGAATTCTCCTTTCTGAGTTGCCAAAGAAAAGGGGCAGAACACCTTTTGCAGAGAACACCTTTCAGCGTAGGCGGCCTTCGGCCGCGCTTAGAGATTATAACCCTCAAACAAACAACAAAAGTATATTTCTTGTGCATTATTTGGGTGTTTTTAAAGTTGAAATACAAATTGTATTAATAGAGTGGGAGCACCAGTTTTCCTCCATCTTATTTATATTAACTACACAAGCAGTCATCCACTAACTCTTAAACTATTCGGACGTGTTCATACAAGTGTTCTTAGCTCGCGTAATAACAATACCAAATAACCCGTTATCATATTTCGCTTTTGTGCACTTTAGTGGAGCATCAGCATAACAACCACTTTGTAAACAAGGAACCGCTACAACATACCAACAAACAACAAAATGCCAACACAACCAGAGCCACCTGACAAATCAACAAACAGATTCGCAATACTAAGCCAATTTGACGACTATANATCAACAAACAGATTCGCAATACTAAGCCAATTTGACGACACCGATTACACATTTCCCACACTTACACATAAACAAACACCACTTAACCAACCCAAATACATAACAATTACAGCAGCCAACAATGAACTACAAAAACTAAGCCCATTCGTAATAAAAAGAGCAATAGACTCAATATCAACTCAAATAGAAAACGTAAAGCAACTCAAAGACGGATCATTGCTTATACTGACACGTAACTCAAGAGTAGCTGAGCGGTTTTTAAAAGTGAAAACACTCGGTAATCTATGCCCAGTGACAGTCAAATACCAAGACAATCTAAACAGAATAAAATGAGTAATTTATGCGCCCTGCCTAAATTTTGTAAGCGACGAGGAAATCATACAAGAATTAAAAAGTCAAGGCGTAAGAAACGTATACAAATTCACACGCACATTTGAAGGCAAAGCAACTCCTACTGGAAAAATTGTATTATCTTTCGATCTTTACCACCTACCCAAAGACATTGATATAGCATGGTACAAAGTTAAAGTCACACCGTACTACCCTACCCCTATGCGTTGCAAAAACTGCCAGCTCTTGGGGCACACAAAAACACGGTGTACTAATCCTGCCACGTGTGAAGGCTGCAACCTTCCACCTCACTCCCCAACTGACTGTTCGCGCAAACAATGCGCAAATTGTGGCAACAACCACGCATCATCAGACAAAGATTGCCCTAGATTCAAACAAACCCAAGAAATCCTAAAAATAAAGACAACTGCTAAATGCTCAATGGGAGAAGCACGTCGTAAATACAATGAAACGAACCACAGAGAATCCCGAAACATACTTACTTAGACATCACCAAAGGAAACAAACCAACATCCACCAACAAGCCACCACCAACGCCTCCAACAGAAACCACAAGCATTGCTAAACGCCCCGCTTCATCCCCACCGACTAAAATTAATCAAAACAA